ACTAGGCCGTAAAGACAGCAGCTACATGGACCCAAAAAAACACTTGGGAAATTTTTGATACAAAATCCTAAGTGTTATGACAAAGCAAAGAGGACGACCAGACTACTGGACAGGAAGGCCCACCTTACGGACGTAGCGGACACTCGCGGGTGACCCAAGTTATGACTTGATACTTAGACAATTTACAGAATTGAAATGACAAAGCAAACAAGCATACAAGGGATTCAAGGCCGAAAAGGACAGCAAAAATTTCTTCAATTGATAAACTTCATTACAATTGGGGGGCACTACGGCCGTTACACCACTTGGCAAAATATTGAAACGCTAATTACAAATGAATAGTCTATCAAGTTTCGGGGGCATCACCGTCTGCGGCTGTCTCATCGGCCTCATCAGCTCCCTCTTCGTCCTCAGCTTCTTGGCCGGCAGCGGCGCTGGTGGCATCATCTAAGAAGTCAAATTCAGTGTAGTCCGGCTCGCCGAGGCCGGAGCTTTCTATGGGGGACTCCCGCTCCGACAGCGGAAGCTTGGCCTGCTCTTCGGGATCCTTCATCAGCTTTGGCAGCTTCAGGTTCCGTCTAGCCCATCCAGACGTGTAATTCATAGCCTTCAACGCCCGGGATAGCCGCCGACACAGGAGCCTTTGCATGCGCTCCTGGCCCAGGTTGTAATAAACGGACATCTCTCGGCTGAAATACTCCCGGCCGGCAGGGGAGTTCATCCCCCAATTCTCAAGCCTGGCGGCCACCACTTCGTAGCACCAGGGGAGCCTCTCATCGGCCTTCCACCCCTCGGCCAAGAACTTCTCGACGGCCTCATCGGCAGCCTTCACGACGGCGGCCTCGGCCCCAGCCTTCGCCTTGGCGGCCTCCTCGCTCCGGCGCTTCTCGGCCTCAAGCGCCCTGTGGGACTCCGCGAGCTCCTTTTTGCTCTCTTCGAGTTTGACCAGGGCATCGTCCCTGGCCGCGACGGCTTCATCAGCTTTGGCCTGCAGCGCCTTGGCATCCTCCCGGAGCCGGTCAAGGCAAGCTACCGCCTCGTCGGCCGAGGCAGCCTTCTGCTCCAGCGCTTGCAGGCGGGCTATCTCCCAGTACTGCCTCTTATGGCTTTCCATAAGCATGAAGGCACTCTGCAGAAGAAAAACAAAGGTAAGGCAAAAAACTCTACGTAGACGAAGAGAGACAAAAATATAAGGACAATCACTTACTTGAACGAGGAGATCCATGCCGCCCTCATAAATCTTCGGGTCCTCGAGCTTCTTCAAATGAGCCCGATCTTTGGCCGGCATGGCCTTGGCCAGGACGACGTGGCCGGGGACGAGCTCATTAAACACGCCCCCGCCGACGGGGTACTCTATCACTTTCTGATAGGTGGCACCGGCAATCTCCTTGCCGGCCCTCTGCGTCCGTGGTTCCTGGACGAGAGGAAGCGCTGGGGCGGCATCATCAGCAACAGTAAGGTCCACGACGGGACCACCATCGCCCACGCTGGGGACAGTAAGCGTACCGGCCTCACTAGCCGGAGAAGGGGAAGGAGCCCTCTTCGTCTTCTTAGAGACGCTCACGCCGGCCTCGGTCAACTTTTTCTGGCCATCAGTGGCCGGTCTCTTTTTCTTGGACGGGGCAGGCTTTGGGGCCGCGTCAGCAGTAGCCCCGCTCCCACCAGCAGCGGCACGTCGGGCCGCCTCGGCCGCCTTAGCAGCCAGCTCCTCGGCCGCCTTGGCCTTGGCAACGGCCATTATGGAGCGTCGGTCCATGACAAAGTCTACAAAGAAAAAACAAACAGATTAGTAAGGCAAAGGACAAAACGTAAAGACAGAAAGCCGAAGAAAAATTACCGTCGGCCTCAGCAGGAATGCCCAAATCCGGGCCATCGGCCTCCTCAAAGGTGGTGGTCATCCTCGGCCAGAGTTGGAGGTCATCCTCCTTATCTCCATACAAGTGATATCTGAAGAGGCCGAGGGCCGTCATCTTGTATTCAGTGACGTAATCTTTCACGCTCCTCGGCCCCCCTTCCAAGAAAGCCTCCACCTGAGCGTCCAAAATAGAGCTCTTCGGCGGGTCATGAAGATTGAACCTCCCGGTATGGCCGAGGGAGGGGAACTCGGTGCCACTCTCACCAATGGACACAAACACGAACTTGCTCTTCCACCCATGAATGGACGTAGGCAAATCCGTGAAGCTCCTCTTCCTCGGCAACTGTTGAAGAGTAGCATAGGCCGCACAGTTCTTGTGGCTTCCTCGGCCGATCTGGTACAAGTTCATAAATAAGGCCGTGGTCGGCCTGTAGCCCAACTCCTCACACCGAAGCAAGAAGCCCACTATCAAGGAATAACTGTTCGGCGTCAGCAAGGCCGGAGGAAGCCCCACCATGTCCAGATACTCAGTGACGAAAGGGTGAAGGGGGAACCTCAACCCCTTAGCAAAACTCATCGGGTATACTCCAAAGTATCCCGGTGGCGGAAGTAGAACATGGTCCGTCGGCCTGGGTGCCCTAACCCGCCCGTACGGCCCCACGTACATTTGGGCGACAAGATAGTCGGCCGCACTGCTCTCCGGCTTGATCAGGAATATATTGGTGAGGTCCAGGTAGGAGAGGCCCGGCCCATTCTTCGGCCTCCTCACCCTCTTCGGCTTAGCTGCTCCCTTCACGGCAGACACCGGCCTCGGGCACGGAACGGCAGCAGAAGTGGACGCCCCGTCCACCGCTCGGGACGAGCCTACGTCCTCACCCTCTGAGGAGGAGGCGGACTCCTCGTCCTCGCCTTCCTCGCCCACCAGCTCTTCGGATTTGTAGGGGCTTAAACGCTCTATCTCCTCTTCAAACTCCTCGAGCACCTCGTAGTCAAGGGACCTTGTGGAGGGCTGGTCGTCGTAGGGGTAGTAGTCCTCGTTCAAGCTCTTCATTACTACTACTACGGGCTTAAGGAGAACAACTTACGATCTAAAGGTGTTTAAACGCCTAACACTAGATCAACTACTTACGGAGCAAAACATGAAAAGTGAGGAAGATCGTGATGAACACTAACCTCAAACAACGAAGAACACGAAGAACAGGCTTGGGAGTTTATCTCTCTAGAAAATCGGCCAGCACTTCGACAAATTCAGAATGCAAATGTGATTCTTCGTCGGAGGGGAAGGGGTATTTATAGACCCCCCCACCAACGGTCACTACACGTGGCACTCTCCCAATGGCCACATCAACGGCCACCAATGGGAGGCCACCACGACACCAACGGCCCACTGGCAAATCAGACTCTACGGCCTACACATGCTCAGCGGCTTCAGAACTGCCAGCAAGCGCCCACAACGTCCCACTTGCTCACCAAGATCACAAATGCCAGACAATAAGGAGACGGCAACGGCCAGGAACATAACGGCCACAAGATCAAAGAACCCAAGAGCCCACAAGCCATCGGCTCCTCGTCATGACCCTTGATGATAACTTTCTACAAGCGATCTGCGCACAAGGGTTCTCCCACAGGGTTACCTTGGCCAGAAAATCGCCATGAGAGTTGGATTCAGGGGGGACTACGGCGAGACCGCTTCGGCCAGGGACTCAAGCAACTCCTTCACCCCTCACACTCTTCGGCCTGAAGCAGTGGGGGACTGGGGGACTATACCGGCCTCAACAAAACAAAAGAGTGCGAACAAAGTAACCACAAAACATGGCCACATTATCCATACAGCACAACGGAACTTCATCGGCCAAAGGCCCATAACGCCACTAGCAACGGCCAACAAGCCACTAGAGGCAAGGACACTCATCGTCCTCCGCCAACAATTAATCTTGACGGGCTCTTCGGCCAAAAACACGAAGGCCAACCAGCAACGGCCGAAAGGAGCGCGCAAACACCCTCATCGGCCACACAAAGGAAATGAGGTCATCGTCCTCAAAACAAGGAACAACCTCAACGGCTTCACCAGCCCAAACATAAACTTCAACCACCAACGTCCAGGAAAGGGAAAGCGCGCCTTCAACGGCCACCATTGAAAGAAGGACACTCATCGTCCCAAAACAAATTAAGGAAACAACGGCCTCCCCGCCCACAGCGAGGAGCAGGTATCGGCCAAAGCCCATAACAGGATCACCAAAATGGAAACAGCGCCAATACCGCGTCGGCCAAAAGCAACGAAGCACAGAAATCTACTCTCCTTCACTTCGTCTACGTCTCAGCTTAGAGAGTGGGGGACTCCTGATGGAGTATATGGGTCTGAGCTCCAGGACCCACATACTCGGAAGAACAGAGCACAAGACAGCAGAGTGGCGCCCTCGTCGGCCAAGACGCCCCCGTCGGCCGAAAAGGGGCCAACTCGGATTACGGTCCTGAGCCCAAGGAACCCGGGTGCCCTCGTCGGCCGTGCCCTCGTCGGCCGTGCCCTCGTCGGCCACGAAGACCTCCCAGAATCGGATTCTATACTTACTCATTTGTACAGCCCATTGGAGGCTTTGTATTCGGCCCAGTAGCGGTCCAGTTGTAAATGGGCCTCCCAAGCCCAAGGCTTGGGAGCCCAACCCTAATTTTCTCTATAAATACTCCCTTTGGGAGTAGTTATAGGGGTTACAAGATCATTCTATTGAAGCATATTATTGCACTTCTCTCTCTAGCTCTCACTTCTCTCTAGAATCTAGGAGATATACTCTATCACCTTTATATCATTGTTTTGGAGTCAAATAAGTTCAATAGTTGTTTTTTATTAAAAACAACCTGAAATTCCAAATATGTTTAATGGTTGTTCTAAAATCCTACTATCTATCATATGTTAGCATTAACAAACATTCATATGGTAGTAGTAATGCCAAAATTGACACTATTTTGCATATTTTGCATTAATTACTCCTATTTAGGGGGGACATGATACTCTTATTTAGATCAATTTCTGAATGATTAAATCAATAATAAGATCATGAGCAACTCCTCTTATTAATTGGTCTTAATATGATATTAGATATATATGGTTTGATACTCCTCTTATTAAAAATGTGATTGTGTGTTGAAGGTCCCCATCATATAACTGGAAATGGGGTTGGTTTCAAGCCAGACATCCTGGACATGGATGTCATGGAAGAAGTTCTGATGGTACGTAACTGAATGCTCTTTTTTTCTTTTTGTATATGTTTTGGGGGGTACTAAAATGGTTTGAACTCTTAAATGATGAAATAATAATTGATTTATAGTTGGTGTTACTCAAGATCGTCTGCTCTATATAAACAACAGTAGATGTTATATGGTGCAGGTTTCAAGTGAAGAATCAGTTAGCATGGCCAGAGAGTTGGCACTTAAGGAAGGCCTTATGGTAACTTCTCTCAAATTAAATACGGAGTACTAACTAATATAGAGATGGCTCTGTATAATCGTTAAACTAACAAGTAGGTGGCTAATTCTTGCATTGTTTATCTATGATCCTTTCAATCATGTATGGCTAGGTTGGGATATCATCTGGGGCTAATACAGTAGCTGCACTTAGCCTAGCTAGCAGACCCGAAAACAAAGGAAAACTCATTGTGGTATGAAAAAATAAAATTGCAACATTAATCCCCCCCCCCCCCCCCCCCAACACTTGTATCTTCTGAGCCTTCCTTTGTATAATTGTATTTCAGACGGTGCATCCAAGCTTTGGTGAGCGATACTTGTCGTCAGTCCTTTATGAAAACCTCAGGAAAGAGGCTGAAGCAATGCAACCAGTTCCAGTTGATTAGGGTTAAGCATAAATACTCCATGATTAGCAGCATATATGTATATGTAGCATGCTTTTCTATGAATAAAATACTTCCTAAAATAGTGACTTTTCATTATGAAAATGTTCATTATATCCGTAAATTCCCACCGCTTCCTTTAGGATGAGAGAGTACGACTAGTAATAAATGCAGCCAAAAGACGTTGCTACTCCCAAATTTGAATCAAAATAAGAGGCCATTTGTCAACATTGTTTTTCGGTTTAACTTTTTCACCAAACACGTAACTTTTGCTTTCGCACGCTGAATTATGTAATAAGCAGAAAAGGTAAGGTTGGAGTTACTTTTCTGGCTGTATTGGATGAAGTTACTGTAGATGACAATTTTAGTTATTTTTGCATATAATTTTTTCTTTATTTTATTAATAAAATATATTTTAAAATTATTTTTTTCTTAAATTAGCAGAATCAGTCAATACAGCCACTTCAGCCAGAACTTCATAAATTTCAGCAGAATCAGGCGAATCAACCGATTTTCGTGCTACCAAACGGGCTCTGGATGTTCAAATTTTAATCCCAGTTGTTTTGCTCTGCAATCTATCCCTAGCAAAGGTCATTATCAGATGTGGCAGACGTGCTGATGGCATCAGCGGAGCCAAAACTTCTGATTGGAATTAAAACACAACGGTCAATCATTTCAAGTTCACGCACTTGTTTAGTCGTTTAGTTCTTCTTTTTGTTTAAAATGATACTCCCTCGGTCCCTAAATGTTCTTCCGTAGTACAAATGGCACACAGATTAAGAAAGTGAGAATTGTGTGATGGAGAGTTGTGCAGAGGAGAGAATGTGTAAGATTGTGCGATGAAGAGTTTTGCAGAGGAAAGAATGTGTAAAAATTATAAGAATGTGTAAGAATTGCTATGAAGCACAATTTTTCGCCGAAAAGAAAAAGTGAAGTTCTTTTTTGGACGGACGAAAAAGGAAAGTTGAAAATTCTTTTAGGGATGGAGGGAGTACTCCGTATGTACAACACTAAATGTACAACGCTACAACGGCACGATGATATGGTACTTTTGGGTGGGAATAAGGATGGCATGGGCCCAATTCGACCGGCTCGAACCAGTACTGTTTAGTACCGAACCGGACCGCCGACTATGACCGGTACCGGTCCATGGGGCCTGAACTGGGTGTAGGGGTGGGCTACAGGACAAGGAATTGGGGGGCCGGACCGGCCAGGTAACGGCTACTTTTAAAAAATATATTAAAAAGAGTTAATTCCCTAAATAGGACTAAAACAATAAACAAATGCACAAATAGGACTTCCATGTTTTATAGGACTAAAAATGCATTAGCTTGACAAAATTACCCTTAATTAAATTATGAACATATTCGTAGATGAAAAACTCTTTTTAAAAACCCTAGTTCCATGTCCCAAAACTGCCGACGCCTCCCGCCGTCGCCGCCCTCCACCGCCACCAAACCAGCTCCGCCACCACCAAACGAGTTCCGCTGCATCCGCAAATCCTATCACAAATTCTGCCATGGTATAATTGCCATAAATTTGGCAAAATATGTTGGCAATATAAAAACCAGAAAATCATATTTTAAAAGGAAATGAGAACTTTCTGCCAAAAATCAAGAATATGAAGTCGACTTACAAAAATCAGAAAGATTGAACAAAAATGAACGCAACAGTGATAGTTTTTTCATTAGATTTGGCAGTTTGTCAAAAAAAAATCTGCCATATTTTAATCATCAAATCTGCCTAAAAGATGGTAATATTTTTGAATCGATGCCATATTATAAATGTTGCTCAAAACTCGCAAAAATTTGGCAAAACACGAAGCCCATATTCAAAAATTGATAAACCGGAATATTAATTGAAATAGAAAATTTGATGAAATCACAATACATGACTACAAATAACAGTATCCAAAAATCAGAAAATTGATGCAAAAACTCAAAATTTTAATGAAATCGGAAGATTTCTTCCGAAAAATCAGAACATCCATGAATAAAATCTGAACTGTTAGATGAAAATTAGAGGAGAAAGAAGAAGGAGGAGGAGGAGGAGGAGGAGGAGATACCTGAAAATCTGGAATCGACGACGATGGTGGAGACAGAGGCATCGCAGAGAGGCGGAAAATATAGGTGGCGGCGGCTATGGAGAACTGGTGGCGGCGCTAAATAGAAGAGGCAGCAGCGGTGAGGTGCAGGGATGAGTTGCGAAGATGGAGCCGCAAGAGTGATCGATAGATAGAAGTCTAGAGTTTTCATTTAATTATATAGAAGGGTATAATGGTAATCTTTAGTCCTATTTAGAGGATTATAAACTTAAGGTCCTAGCCGTTTTTAAAGTGCCAAACGGTTCTATAGCCGTTGGGGGGGGTTTTGGGGTGGGGGTGGGGGTGGGGGTACAAAAAAAATTATATATACTTCTATCTTCTAAACATTTTTCTACACCTATTCTCCCATTTTTTCTACTCTCTGATACTCTCGAATTACCTCTGTCTTCATCTTCTCCAATTCTCTCTTCACCTATTAATATATATCATATCTATTTAAATTAGTTATACAATTATTATGAGCCCGTTTGGTAACAATGAAATTCCGCTGAATCGGCTGATCCTGCTGAAATTTATGAAGTTCTGGCTTAAGTGTCTGTATTGGTTGATTCTGCTGATTTATGATAAAATTAAATTTAAAATATATTCATTAAAAAAATAAAGAACAAATTATATGTAAAAATATCTAAAATGATCCTCTATAGTAATTGCAGCCGAAACAGCCAGAAAAGTAACTCCAACCTTACTTTTTCTTATTATTACATATTTCAGCGCGCGAAATCAAAAGTTACATGTTTGGTGAAAAAGTTGGCTGATAAGCCTGATAAGCTGAATAACAGTGTGACCAAACGGGTTCTATATCTACTTATATATTTATTATCTACTTATAAATACATATATTATATTGCTTATTGATGGAGTATATGGCCCAGGGACCCTCGGCCCACAGACTCCTAATTCTCCAACACGGGTCCATCAAACCCGATGAGCACACAAAGCCCAAAAAAGGCGGCCCAAGCATAAAGAAGCTCACGGTGCACATGTGGATGCCTTCGGCCCTATGGCTGAGGGCTCCAAATTCTAGAAGACAACTTGATATGGACCTGCAAAGTTTCTGGGATATTCTGCCTGAAATGTTAGCCTTCGGCTATTCCATGTCCTCGACTGTATATAGCCTTCGGCTATATGATGCATTCGGCTATATGATCACCGGGTAGGCCTTCGGCAACAGCACTCTCGGTGAAGATTCCTTTTAGAGATAGCCAGCCACCGCATTCAATGCGGCGTCACGTCCAATCACTGCATTTAGTGCACCGCATTCAATGCGGCGTCATTTAATGCGGTGCACATGCAAATGCTGGTGCCACCCCCGATTGAGGTGACCCTCAGCCATCAAATGTTTGACATATGTCCCCGCCTAGCATTTATGGTTGCTATAAATACCAGCCCTTACTCCTCTCGTAAAGGATCCCAGATCAGAATTGATTAATATATCTGACTCTCTCTCTCTCTCTCTTACTTATTGCTCTGACTTCTCTCCAAGTACCTCCGGTCTTCTTCCTTGAGAGCGCTCTAAATTCAGGGCGATACCAAGTATCACAACCGAGGGGTACCAAGTACCCCCCGCCTTCTTCCTTGAGAGCGCTCTAAATTCAGGGCGATACCAAGTATCACAACCGAGAGGTACCAAGTACCCCCGACCTTCTTCCTTGAGAGCGCTCTAAATTCAGGGTGATATCAAGTATCACAACCAAGGGGTACCAAGTACCCCCGACCTTCTTCCTTGAGAGCGCTCTAAATTCAAGGCAATACCAAGTATCACAACTGAGGGGTACCAAGTACCCCCGACCTTCTTCCTTGAGAGCGCTCTAAATTCAAGGCAATACCAAGAACCCCCCGCCATTTGGTACCCAGGTCGAGGGAACGAATCCCAAACCCCTCGGAATGCGGAGGGCTAATCTTGAAGGAGGAACCAACGGATTGCACCATCGCCTCAAAAGGGACCAAGTCCCTCACGGAACCAAGTTCCAGCCCCCATTCCTTTACCGGATGGCAACTGTTGCATGGATTTCTGGACCGGACCCTCGTTGCCGTCGTCCTCATATCCCAACTAGCCCTCGGCCTCGGTGTGATTATTTATCTCCGGACCGGCATCCTCAACGCCGAAGTGCTGTTATAGCGATAGGGCTCTCCATCCTTTCCAGGATGGGGACCATCGCCTTCACGACGAACGGCCTCTCATTGCTGTCGTCCTCCTATCACAACCGGCCCTCGGCCTCGGTGTGATTATTTATCTCCAGAAAGGCTCCTCAGCGCTGAAGTGTTGTTATAGCGATAGGGCTCTCCATCCCTTCCATGATGGGGACCGTCGCCTTCACGACGAACGACCTCTCATTGCCGTCGTCCTCGTATCACAACGTGATTCTATATCGGCCCCTCGGCCTCAACATAATGATATATCTCAAGATTGGCCCTTGGCCTCAGCTTGATGATCTATCTCAAGATCAATCCCTCGGCCTTAAAATGATGTTTTATTTCAAATTGGCCCCTCGGCTTGAACGTGATGTTCTATCTCAAATTGACCCCTCGGCCTGAGCATGATGATATATCTCAAATTGGCCCCTTGGCTTCAAAATGATGCTCTATCTCAAATTGACCCCTCGGCCTCAGCATGATAAATGGACGATCTAACTCAAGATCGGCCCCTCGGCTTCAAAATAATGCTCTATCTCAAATAGGCCCCTCGGCCTCACCATGATGAATTGACGACCTATCTCAAGATCGGCCCCTCGGCTTCAGCATGATGACCAATCTCGAGATCGGCCCCTTGACCTCAGTATGATGATCTATCTCAAAAGTCGCCCCTCAGGGCTGAGGTCTTGAACCAGCGATAGGGCTCTTCATCCCCTCCAGGATGGGGATCGTTGCCCTTATACGATGATCGGCCCATCACCGAGGTGATCGGCCAAGGATGGGGACCGTCGTCCTCAGATCACGGACGGTCAAGCCCTCGGACACGATCCCTCGGACATGAAGGAGAGGTTACTCCATAAAACACCACGTGTTTCCAAGCTACAATATAGCCCTCGGTACCAAGTACCAACGACGGGTTCGTCGGTAAAAACACCCACAACATTATGTTAAGAACAAAGTCGTTCCCCTCAAGGACGCCCCTACACCGAAGGCACCACCTATCGGTTCCGGAAGCACCAAGTGCCTCCGGACATTTGCGTCTAGCACGCAAATAAAACGCTTCCCTGAAACGCTTTCCGAGCCATTACCCCAAGGGAATGGCAGGAAACAGACGATGTCTCGGGCCCAAGATTTGACTTTCACAAACGAAAAGCTTCTCGCACTTTCCCCCAAGGGGAAGCAGGCAACAGACGATATCTCGGACTAAGGGAACGACTTTCAAAAACGAGACGCTTTCCGTTCCATCCCCCAAGGGGAGGCAGGCAACAGACGATGTCTCGGGCCAAGAAAACAACTCTCACACCCCTCAGATCCCGGAAGGTCAAACATCGAGGGGGAGCCAGCGGTTCATACCGCTGCCTCCCAAATAGACCAAGTCTCTCCAAGAAACCAAGTTTCTTGAAGCCTCCCCTCACATTTCCAAAAAAAATTGGAGTGAGGGGGAATAGACTCAGCGAGCAATCAATGAGGAAATTATACAAAGCCCAAATTTTTGAAAACCTCTGGCACATCAGTCAACACCGAAGGCTCCTATTTTACAAATGGGCTAAATTTGGCTAAGTCCGCGTTTTGGAAGCCTCTAGCACATCAGCCAATGCTGAAAGCTTCTATTCTACAAATGGGCTAAATTTGGCTAAATCCACATTTCAGAAGCCGAGGGCACCTACTCTTATATATTGGGTTTAGATTTTCTAAGTCCACATTTTGGAAGCCAAATCCGAAGGCTCCTACGCTACACCCGTCAACATCTCAACAAAGTACCGAAGGCAACCACTCTTATATATTGGGCTAAAAATTTTGTATGTCCACATTTCAGAA